CGTTTGGCCATAGATTTCTAAATATTCTTGGCAAATATTATTTGGGTGAAAATTTGGGTGAAATTTCACCATGTGTTTGGCCATAGTATTTGGAAAATATATTTCACTTTTTTAGAAAAATATGATTTATATACATAAGTTTTAAAAACTATCAAAATTAACCATAAGTTTGTATTACAAGTCAATTGAATCTTCGTTGCAACAATAACAAATAGTGTCCATGACACTAGAGCAATGTGGTAGTTTGGAGTGAGTGCAACAAGCAACATTCCATACATCGTGAAGTAGACAAATCACATGCATGACTTTGTTACCCTGAGCCGATTGTTTATCATTTTCATCAACAACCATATCATCATTTAATATTCACTGAATATTTCATCACTACTTTGGTATTCACGTGAAAAATTATGTAATACGACACAAACAACTACTATAGAGGGTGTTTTTGTAAAAGATAAAAGTTTGGGGTAACATTTCAATTTTCAAAAGATCCTAAATAATGAGATTTGGCCCAAATACTAGAAAAAACTAGTATTTGAGATATTTGCCAAATAATGGCAAATTGTATGGACAAACACTATTTGCCAATTTTTTTCCCAAATATTATTTAGGAAATCTATGGCCAAACGGGCCCTTAGTTTAGACTATTCTTTAAAAAAAAAGTATATAAAATTGCTTAAAGTTAGTTTATTAATTGGATTAAATGTACTAATTATATGGTGTTGGCTAACGGCCTACGTGCCACTAATTAATCATGTTTTTTAAAAAATAAAATTTCCTTATGAATTTCCCAAAACTCCTTTAAAATATTAGTTTTATTTTTGTACTCATATATCTAGGAATTGAAGAAGAAAATTGTCGTTATTTTGTCGTGATCTATAATCCTTACCCTTAAATATAAGGATTTTTTAATTTGCACCTACTACTCATTTAATAAAAATATGTGAACAGCGTAAGCTTAGATAACTTTTGCCTCACTTGATATAAGTTTGTAGAAATTAAGTTTTGTCTTTTATTATATCATTTGTGGGTTCTAAAATTACATTTTTATATCGCTTGATGTTAAATTTAGGTCTCAGGCCTAACTCACACCCCAAAAGCTAGCTCAAAGGGAGGAGGATTGCCCAAGCCTTATAAGGAGTCCACCCATCTCATTAACCACCGATGTGGGACTTTTGTCATTCTTTAACATCTTTTATTATATCATTTGTGGGTTCTAAAATTACATTTTTATATCGCTTGATGTTAAATTTAGGTCTCAGGCCTAACTCACACCCCAAAAGCTAGCTCAAAGGGAGGAGGATTGCCCAAGCCTTATAAGGAGTCCACCCATCTCATTAACCACCGATGTGGGACTTTTGTCATTTTTTAACACTTGACATAAGCTTCGTAGGAATTAAATTATAAGGTATGATCTAACTTGTTATTTTTCTCTTGAGTCGAGAGTTTATTCAGAAACAAACTTTCTACTCTGAGATAGAGGTAAGGTTTGTATACACTACCCTCTCAGACTTCATTTTGTAGAGCAATACTAGGTATATAGCATTGTTGTTGTTATTATTGTAATGCTAAAGCACACGAAACCAATAAAATTTAAATTTTGAATCTGTCCCTCTATCTATCGAAGTAGATGGACATTCAATACCAATACCACATAAATTTTATGATAAAGTGACAGTTTCTATTTCCAGCATTTTTGTCAAAGCCACATAGGCTGACAAAAGCTAATTAATTCAAGGTTGCTGTATCTGTTTTTTTGCTGTCCATTAAGGCTTTTAAGGAAGTAGGAGTAGGTCCACAAACATTAAAATTAATTTTTTCAATTCAAAATAAGTGATATTTTAAGATTTTTGATATTCTCAATAAGAAAATAAGTTAATTATTAGTTATAAATATTATTTGATTAAGAGTCGAGAGTCTATCGAAAATAAATTTTCTAGCCTATAAAGATAGGAGTAAAGTCTACCTACATCATACCCTTTTTAGATCTCACTAATGAGGATATATTGAATATATTGTTGTTGTTGTTAACCTATTGGTCGATCTTTTATAAAGTAAAAAGTGTTAAATAAAGATATTTGACCAAACTTTTGGTGAAGAAATAAGTGTTTTTGAGTAATAATAAAAGTTTTTCTTTTTCAACTTTTAATAAGACGTCGAATTTTGTTTAATCATCTTAGGGAGAACGGTCAAATATGCCGGAAAACTACGCAAAAGGTTCATATTTTTTCGTTATGACTTAATTGTGAGATATGTGATATCATGTTAAGTTGATTCTATGATTTAAAATAAAGGTGAATTTAGCTCATTTTAGTAACGACAATGATATATCTGATATCAATTACTAACAGATGAAAAATTAATACCATTTCACATAGTTCAGAAACAAATTTAACCTCAACTATTAACCATTTCACAATCATATCAAATCATTTTATAGAATAAAAAACACACAATACAACCATTTCACACAATTGATATCATTTCACATAATTCTATTTCTTGCCTTCAAATACATAATTTTTTGCCTTCAAATACATGTTTTCTCACACCAGAAATATGAATTCCTATTAAATAATCTTTCCAATTTATGTTTGATGCATCAATCTCAAAGTTTTTTCTCTCTTCTTCAGACATTTCTTCCATTAAAATCCTCATATTGCCAGTGTGAAACCTTGCAAAAAATAAAAGAAGAAAAATTGATGAACACAAACAAAATTTACTCTTATTTGTGTGATGATATTTGACTGTCTACAAAATAAGAGCTTGTAATTTCGTAACGTGTTATGATATTTATATGGTTATAAAAGCTTGTCATATAGTTTAATTATTTTCATCTACACAAATGTTACCACTCTTTCAAATAAACTATAAGAAAAAGTGTCATGTAAAATAAAACAGACAAAATAAAAATTATACTCTTTCTCTATTTATATGTTGTGTAGTAGAAAATTCTCCTTATTTTCAAGATTACAAACTCAAATTTCACGAAATTTTTCTTATAACTATTGTTTGAGTGATCTAATAGTAAGAAATTATTTACACAGTCAACGCGTATAAATTAATAGTGAATAAAAAATGGTTCATACCTTCCTCTATAGAAACCATATGGTTCATAGCGCTTGCTAAAGTTGTTGAGAAATTCCACTTTCCTTTTAAATCTCATATGAATCTTCAACAACTCTTTTTCACTTAAATCTTGTACCTTATGCTGCTTGGATAGTACCTCCCAAATATAATTTGAGAAATCTGATATTTTATCAAAATATTTCATTTCCTTAACCTCAATTTTATCCCCTTTTGAGTTAACAAAAGGAAATAAAGTGAAATATTCATAGCAATAGTCAAAAATTTGATGTATTGCAAGAGGATTCACAAATGTTGTTGCTAAATGATACACATTTAATTGTGGACTTTGCAAATATCCATGCTTTGCAATAGCAGCCATTGTTGCATTTACAACTAGATCAACTGGAATCTAAATCAAGTAAAAAATTGGTCAGATTATACAAAATAATAATAATAATAATAATTGTTGGAAATATTAAGTAAATAAAAGTATGTTATGTACTAGTTTATGCCTTATTCATACCACTGTTGGCTTATGTGCTATGTCTAGCGGCTGATGAATTGGGTAAAAGTCTTGAGTTTTAGTCTCACTGTCGATCGTTAGTTTAAAAAAAATTCACAGTTCGGGAAATGAGAGGGAATTTCATCGAAGATATATAACTAAATGAATAAGAGTGTATCTTGTTTTATAGCTTAAGATTTTAAGTGAAATAGTCACACATTTTATATCATTGTATCACAATCGACAGAAATTAAGCATTTTGAGTCTCGCCAATAATTATTATTAAATTTTTTTTTAATGTACTTGACACATGAAAAAGAATCAAGACAGAACGTGAGGCAACGAGTCCAATCGCCACAAATTGACAAATAAAATGTAATGGAAACTTATACTTACCACATCCATAAGAGTATTTTGATCACAATATACTGCAGGAAGTTCCCCTTTTCCATATAGAAAAATTGAAGGGTCAATTACCCTAAGAGAGAGAGAGAGAAAAAGACAACATAGAAAGTAAGAAACAATATTAATTTGATTAGTGACAGAGTCAAAATTTCAACTAAGGGGTGTTAAAATATAAAAAAGTAAAATCGTGTAGAAGCCAAGCAATGTTAATATGTGATATATATATAATATAATATTTTTCTTTAGCTATATAGTGTAATTTTCCGACAAAGGGGTATTGGTTGACACCCCTCAAGTATATGTAGCTCCGCCACTAGGTGTGATACATATAATCTACCATAATAAAATATTAGTGACTGCTTTCACATCTCAAATCTGTGACATATAATATATCATAGGGATATAACTTTTCTGTTACTCCGAGACTGATCATAAGTATTATATGAACTAAACAAGAGAAATTTTAATACAATATTGTCACCTGTATCCTTGTATCCATCCTGGAAAAGGCTCTTTATAGCTACTTGTTATTATGGAGGGTCGAAGAATAAGTATTGGAATTTCATGTCTCATACTATTTATCATCATTTCACCAATTGCCTTTGTGAATGTATATGTATCTTGCCATCCATATAACTTTGCCCTATTTAATCAACAAACAATTAAGTATAATTTTTTTTTTAAAAAAAGAATTATTTTCTTATATCAATCAATATAATTATATAAAAAGAGAAAATACCTCTCAACTCCTAAATTCTTCATTATTTGCTCCAAACCAATATTATTTGTAATATTGTTCTTCAATTTTGAAACTAAGTCCATTTCATTGTCAACATGCAATGATGGAAAATTAGTAAAAGAAGAAATTGAAGTGATTTTTTCCTTTGTTATGCTTTCTCCCATGGTAAAAGGCTTCTCCAATATTAATCCTTCTCTTTCTCCATTAGCATATGCTTCAAGAAAATAAAAATCATATTTCAATATTGTAATTAAATAAATATCATATCTACAAAGATTTATATTATATGCACTAATAGTGTACATTTGGGGGTGATGCTCATGACATGATTTTCTCCATACCCAGGGCTTGAACCCGAGACCTCTGGTTAAGGATGAAGCACTCCCACCAGTGCACCACAACCCATGTTGATTTTTGGAACTTAAAACTTTCTCTAGAAAGAGTATATTATTTGCCGAGAAATATAAAGATTTTTTACTCATCAGATTAAGTTGACCTACAATAACTCAGAGTTATAGATCTCCATATCAAGACTGATCCTAGAAAAGAAAATCATAACCTACTAGAATCGATTAAGTTATGGTAATAGCGTAACATCTTGTTACATTATTAGTGTATATAACTTATACTCATATAAAAACATATGTTTTTTTATTGAAGAATATTCAAGTACATACCTGTGGAATAATGCATAAGAAGTTTAAGGTTCTTGCATTTTTTGGCAAACATCATGAGTTGATATGGACCATTCACATTAGCATCAAGAGCTAAATCATACCTTAAAAAAATAATCAAATGGTAATTATAAACTAATGACATAAAATTAAACTCACATAATCAAATCTAATTTAAATTGTATAACCTTAGTTGAATAATAATTTTTAGGAAAAAAAAAGAACCTCTCATCAAATGTGGTGTTTGCTGCTGAGTCAATGATCAAATCAATTTGTTGAGCAATTTGTTGAGAAGTAATAATATCCATACCAAGATTTGGCTCATATATATTTCCAACCACAGGAATTAATTTATTCAATATGAATGGCTTGTAATATTCACCATGCATTTCTTCTAGACATTTGAATAATTTTGACTCTATAATCTGATGATAATAAGAGAAACTATATATTAATAATTGTTTCATATTTATATATTTAACACTATATAAAAAAATAACTATAAAATTCATCATTAATCTATCGCTAAATAACTTGTAGCCTAATAGATAATTATTGTATACTATGTTGTTAGTCCATTGTATATCGCTAATCCATAGTTAAATAGGATTTTTTAATTATTTTTGTGGCATAAGCTGTCCTTTGCTATCCGTTTAAATAGAATTAACGACAAATTTTGTTGTTTTATATTACAACATATATAGTGTATACATACTTCACTTTTTAATCTGTTAAATGCAGCTCCTTTATCCTTTGCTCTGATGAGGATGTAGATCTTGTTTATTTTTGGTGTTGTTCTCAACATCTTTTCAATAAGAGCTGCAAAAATATTTTATATTATCAGTTCACTTAAAAAATAATTACAGATAAAAGTGATACATATTACATCCAGTGAAAATTGCATTGATGATACCAAAAATATTTCTTATAGTATTAGTGTATATATATATAAAAAAAAAAAAAAAAACTCAAAATTTAAAAATATTGTGAAAAGGCTAGGTAAGAAAGTTAAAGCAAGAAGTTTGATATATTATTATCCTTATGAACCTTTTATATATCCTACACGAGTAGTATTCTACTTGCATATTGTATATGTAAGTATCAATGCTTAAATATTTTACAGTTCGAACTTGTGACGTGTAGATCATACAAAGACAATTTTACTGTTAATTAAATTATTGTACCTTTTGCAAGAAACCCTGTACCACCAGTGACAAGAATGTTCTTCCCTTCAAAAAACTCAACAATACCTATACCATTATTGGCCTTTTGAGATATAATTTCTTTTTCATCATCCATAATTATGGATGGAGCATTAGTAAATGCTTTAAGTGAAATATGTTGATCATTTGGAGAAGAAAAAAATGAAGACAAACATGTTATATTTTTCATACTTCTTTTTTCATTTTTAAAGGATGGAACAATTTTATATTTATCAAACCTAGAAGAAAAAATATTTTTAGAAAATAATTTAGTTGGCGATTCCCTTGTATACAGGGGAAAAGTGTTTTTTGAGAGAAGCATTATATTGGCAATTGGCACAAAAAATAAAAGAGAAGTTGTGGGATAGGAGATAAAATAATCTTCTCTATTTATAGAGCAAGCTAGGGAGTGTAAACTAGCAATAAATTAAAATGTTTTGTGTGTATGTGTCATTTACAATAAAAGCTATAACAACTACCACATGATGAGTATCAGTAATATTGTAGACCATATCTTTTTATTTTTTATTTTTAGTTTAATTTTTTATTATTATTTTAAAATTGTGTTTTGTGACGATCTTATCTAAAAATTTAAAATATTCAATAAAACATGCTTTAAATTACTTGAGAATTTCTTCAACACGATTCTTTGACTCATCGAAATTTTTATCGAAATCACATATTTTTGATAGATGCATTCCGAAGAAAAACTTTTACACCTTACTATTATCTTTGAAATAAGAAATAAGATAATTTTTTATATTTGAATCTTTTGTTTTTCAACATAAATATACAATGGCCAAACCCATCGGTGGCCCCCTAAAGTTGGCACGAAATTTCACTTAGACACCTCAATTGAACGATGTTCATTTTACACACCTCATGTAGGATCCCGTTGTGTCATTTTGACACTTTTTTGACAATCCGCTAAAATTACATTGTGCGTGTAACACACTCGCGAATAATGTAATATAATGGCTAATTAAGGAAAGACACGTGACATTTAAGTACAAAATAATACTTTAAAAATAGGAAAAATTAATTTTCAGCCAAAAATAATAAATAAAAGCATTTAGTTTCTAAAACCCCACCAAACCATCCCACCCCTTCTTCCACATTCTTCCAAACTTTTCTGGCGTCTCCTCTTTACCCCTAATTTCTTCTTTTACTTTTTTTCTTTTTGGGTTTTTTATTAAATTCAGATTTCCATTTTTTTTTTGTAGATTTAATTTGTATGTTATCAATTTCATGCTTTTTAATTGTGATCTAATATTACAATGCCTCCAAAAGGAATAAAATTATACAAGGAGCACAAATACGAATGCTATGTATTATTTGTACGTTGTAGTCCCTCCCGTTTAGAATGAATATCTGCATATATGAACTTGATGGGTGTGATAGATATACAATGGTGTGTAGCACTGAACTTGAAAGATAGCAATAAAAGTTGTAATTGTTGGATCTAAAGAATAAGAATGAGAAGATGACGATGATTGTGGTGATTTTCGAAACTGAAAAAATTAATTTGATTGTATTAATAGCGATGGTGATTGGATGGTGTGTGGTGGAGTTGAGAATGAAGAAGAAGAATAGTTTTGACCTTTTAAATATTATTTTTTTGGCCTGAAAAAGAGCCCCTTCACGCGCTGATTTTGGGTTCATTACACTTACCATGTCATGTCAGCGAAAAGTATCAAAATGACACAGTGAAATCCTACTTGAGGTGTCTAAAATGAACATTAGCTAGTTGAGGTGTCTAAGTGAAATTGTGTGCCAATAGGGGGCTACCGATGAATTTGGCCATATACAATGTAATAATAGAATGTAACACTATAACAAAAGAAATATTTAGTGACAGTAACACAAAAAAATTAACGGCAATTGAGTTAATGTCATTACATCCAAAGTCATTAAAAATATTTATCAGCAATTATATAGAGTGCTGAACTTACATAAATCTCACTAGTTTAGGAGCTAATTACTTAGATACACTCTAGTTTGCAATATTACATATCTTACAAGATTTTGGTGCGTCCAGATACATTCCAATACATGTATCTGGAATGCATGAGGTCAAATTTAGGTGTAATTTATTCTAGATATATTGTATTTGGTACCCTAGATACATGTGAATCACTCCACTCCAGAGCCATACAAATATAGATTTAACCAATTTGATGAATTACACCTAAAGGTTGACATCAAACTAGTGCTAGTTGATGAGAGTTACTTCGGAAACAAAAAAGTAAAGTCAAATTTCTCTGGGGTATTATCTCAATTCCAATAAAATGCAATCGAGTAAAGTATGACTTGGCGATCAGACGATATATGGATAGGACTTATAACGGGGTCTCGAAAAATAAGTAATTTCTGCTGGGCCTTGATCCCCTTTTTAGGTTCATTAGGCTTCTTATTAGTTGATATATATATATAATGACCCGAAAGGTCATTTTTGAAAATCTTTGTAAAATTCATTTTACCCTTCTCGATAGTTGCCCTAGTTATTTTGGATCAGTTTGAAAAGTTGGTTAGAGAATTTTGAATTACTCGTTTAGCTACAATTTTTAATCAAGGGATAAATTTTGAATATTTAATTTTAGTAAGTGGTTAATGAGTTAAACCAATATTTTATTTAATACCCTTGACCCATATAAAAGAATAAATTAATAGTAAATTGAGATTACAACGTTTGAATCATAAACTCCATAAAGACTTCTACGGTTGGGAGCGCAAATACGCAGAGAGGAGACGATTCCTCCCTATATGATTTTTTGGGTAAGAAACGCTAATGATAAACCTTATTTATACCTATGTTAATCTCTTGCCATTGTATAAAATAATAAATTGTTGGTTTGTAAACTTAATGTCATAAATTATTATATATGTGAGTATTCCTTTAGGGTTAGGAGACAAGAAATTGAGGAAGTCATCATTGAATAATGACAAACTATTAAAGAGGTATATAATAATCAAGTTTGGAAGTATTCTATTGATTTTAAAGAATGAAATTTGTAAAGGACAAAGAGGTGTCACCGTATTTATTGTGGGTATTGCAATTTTCTCTCTATTATATTTATTTCGAACGAAAACAGGGAACAACGAGGTTACGTATTTAATTAGTGAACTTTTATGGTGGGTTATAATATTGTTTTTCTTAAAATTATTGTAGTCGAGATGTGGATTGAAATTTTAATCTTAGAGTATATTTACGGTATGGAAGAAAGATTGAGATATATAATGAAGTATTAAGTATATTATATTACATGAATACCATTCAAATTATGATATTGCGAAAATTGGATTTAACTCTAGATTTGGAATTTGAAAATATGAGAGTTGACATGTTAATTGACATCAAACTTAGGAACTTGATTATAAATTGAGTGAGTTTTGGGTCTAGGCTAGACCTATAGTAATGTGGGTGTTGTTAGTTTCGAAATCTTACTGTGATTATTAATGTGAATAGATTGCTTTGAGTTGGAAGTACAACTAAAAGGGAAGACTCAGGTCCCGGAGTGATTGTTCGATTATTTGAGGCAAGTGGATTTCTAAACCCTTATTAAGTCTATGGAATTCGTGTATTTCCTTGTAATATGTGTTTGGGGGGAATGAGACTTGGTGATGGGTGGACTTGTCCACATTGATTAATTCTAATGATGAAAAAGGGGTAATAAAGGCAATGTGATAATTGTTTGTGCGTGATGTGTTGAGAATTGATAATGGTTTGAAAGACTTGTTGAATCATTGTTGATGTTGTATCATGATTGTGTTGTGGAGAATTGTGCAATGTTATGAAAATGGTCATCTCTTAATTATTTGTGTGAACATGTCATTTGCATTGTTCTGAGACATGGTTGTGACAAGTGTTACGTGAATTGAGAAAGAATAAGAAATTAAGGAGGATGTACCATTTCGAGGGACGTATCGCGCGCCGCAATGGATACTATTTTTCGAGGGACGTATCGCGTGCTGCGATGGTTACTATTATCGAGGGTCGCATCGCACGCCGCAATGGATGCATGGACATATATGTCCCCCATGGGTATTGGACTGAGAGACAGCGGGTGTGTATCATTAGGTCAAACATACATCACTATACTTGACATTGCATTCCATTGCATTGCACATATTTATCATTAGTGAACCTGATATTGTGTTTTGTTGATCTTGCGAGTGCCTTTCTGTGGAACTTTGATTGATGAATATTGAGCTTGTTCTTGAGAATATGTAGTTGTTAGAATGTTGTTGTTGAGATATGTGCTTGTAAATAGTGAATTGTTAGGTTGGGCTGGTCTTATACAGGTTGTAGTTCTGGAGGTTCGGTTGGTGTGTAAGGAGTACCCATATTGTATCCCCTTAGCTTGTGTTTAGAGGTTTACTTGCTGAGTACCGTGTGGTTTGGTACTCACCCTTTGCTTCTACAATTTTTGTAGGTTACGAACCTGGATTTTGTGGTACTTGTCATTCTCTTCTTTTCCGAGACTTCTTGGAGATTTGTGAGGTAGCTGTTTATCATCTTAGCGGACCTTCTTACTCCTATTTATGATCTTGTTCTATTCTAGAGACAAGGTCATTTGAGACTTGTGTTTTTCTTTTGAATCAATTGTAATACATTTAGATGCTTGTACACATGACAACCAGATTTTGGGCGTATTTTTGAGTTGATTATAAAATTTCTGCATTTTGTTGTAATGGTTGAGTTTTAGGCTGACTTGTCTTGGTGGGATAAGACGAGTGTCATCACGTCCATTTTTTGGTCGTGACAAAATAGTGTTGCATGTATCTGGAATGTATTGGAATCTTGCTTGCCTCTCTCCCTATTTTTGTGTATCTGATACATGTATAATGTAAGATACGTAATATTTTAAAAATATTGATAATAATAATAATATATATGATAATGAAGTATGTCTAATTATGTAGTATTTTCTTCTATACTTATTATCGTCGTAACCAATTGCGTAATTTTTTTATTATTATAGTATAAATAGACATAGAGGCAGATATATACAAGTATATCATAAATATATATATTATGAATTCATCATGGACAAGCTAAGGTTAATAGTTAATACTGAATACTTGTGTTCGCCCATAATTCATAACTATGAATGAATATTATATTTTAGATAAATAATTGGCTATAAAGACGATGGGTTCATAACTACTATTTTTATAACAGAATACTTATCAACC